AGACTATTAAGATGTGATTTTAGTGAGATATTGAATATTTACTTACTCGTAACTACTGGTTCAGTAACGGCAGGGGGTTCAGTGGGTGGCTTAGTAGGAAGTTCAGTAACGACAGGGGGTTCAGTGGGTGGCTCAGTGGGAGGTTCAGTAACGACAGGGGGTTCAGTGGGTGGCTCAGTGGGAGGTTCAGTAACGGCAGGGGGTTCACTGGGAGACTCAGTGGGAGGCTCAGTAACAACAGGTGGTTCAGTGGGTGGCTCAGTGGGAGGCTCAGTAACGACAGGGGGTTCAGTGGGTGGCTCAGTGGGAGGCTCAGTAACGACAGGGGGTTCACTGGGAGGCTCAGTGGGAGGCTCAGTAACAACAGGTGGTTCAGTGGGTGGCTCAGTGGGAGACTCAGTAACGACAGGGGGTTCAGTGGGTGGCTCAGTGGGAGGCTCAGTAACGGCAGGGGGTTCAGTGGGTGGCTCAGTAGGAGGTTCAGTAACGACAGGCGGTTCAGTGGGTGGCTCAGTGGGAGGCTCAGTAACGGCAGGGGGTTCAGTGGATGGCTCAGTAGGAGGTTCAGTAACAACGGGCGGTTCAGTGGGTGGCTCAGTGGGAGGCTCAGTAACAACAGGGGGTTCAGTGGGTGGCTCAGTAGGAGGTTCAGTAACAACAGGGGGTTCAGTTGGTGGCTCAGTGGGAGGCTCAGTAACAACGGGTGGTTCAGTGGGTGGCTCAGTAGGAGGTTCAGTAACTACAGTCGGTTCAGTTGGTGGCTCAGTGGGAGGCTCAGTAACAAAGGGTTCTATCACATATTCCTCTTCGCACCAGTAATCTGATAAAAAATAATATGAAACACATATTTCGGATTCATTTTTTATCTGGGGGTGCAATTTCATTCCTTCGAAAGTATGTTTGTTTGTTTGTTTACACGTGACATAACTACAATATGGTATAAAGTAATAAAATAATTACCTTTGGCTTCCTCTAACGTACCGAATTCACAGTCATTTTCTTCTGTGAAAGAAGCAACAATATTAGTCTTGCATTTGTCTATATGCATGTATCATGAAAGAATTCAGGCTATCATCCATTACAATATAATATTTAGTGGCTACTTACCATTTGCCCAAAATTCATCGCATTCATCAGCTGAAAAAATCAAACCAAATAAATGCATCCATGAATATCTTGACAAACTGTTAGTTTCGAAATATTTGAATATTTTACTAGTATTAACATTAAACGTTTGATTGTATAAACTCAAGGTAACTGAATATGTGTTTTGTTTTATTTCGTCTGCATACGAATATCATGCGAATAGATATGTACAGTTAATTTATGTGTTTCTATTGGTCTGGTGGTATGTGAGCCTGAGAATGTATGCGTGCACTTGCCATCGAGCATCAATTGAAAGACGAAATCGAAATCAAAATCTTCGAAGTCCATGCTGCATTCACCGTCTTCATTCAACAGAAAATCGTCATCTCCATGATGTTGTATCCAATCATCACACTCGGATGAACAGTCTTCGTCTTTGTTGCCATAGAAATTTTAAAAGATGAGATCATAATTGAATTATTTAACTTATTTAACAAACAAAGAACAATTAAAAGATTCGTGTGCTTTTTTCAACAAATGTATTTTCTAATGAAATTTTAAACTCTTTAGCTCAATTTGTTAAATAGCTTGACAGGGCATGCTACATGTGTACTGCACATACAGAAATCTATGCAACATTTTTGTAACGTACTTGGGGGATTGACCATGGAGGGTTTTGTATGTTAACAAAAACATTGTACAGACAATCTGATTCTTTACTGGAAGGCAGTGAAGAGTAATTAAATCAGGTGTAATATGCTCATATTTTCTTTTCTTCAAAACAATCCTAGCTGTTGCGTTATGTACCCTCTGTAATTTCGACAACTGTGCGTTTGTTATGTCATATAATAAACTATTATAATCCATTCTAAATCCATTAAGAACATGAACGATGATCTTGGTGGTTTTATCTGATTTGCATTATCTAATTTCGGAAAACTTACAAAATATAAAAAAATAAAGATATTATTAACATATCATTTAAATTAATTATAAAATTTGTTAAGTTGCTGGGGCTAAGGTTAAATACAAAATATCAATTTTCTCGAGATTTAATTTATGGCCGTACATGTGAACTAAATGTGTGCTCTTACCTGTACAGCCCAGAGAGTCGTAATCATAGTCTTCACACACGTATACGTCGTCAATGATGACTACAAATAAATTGGTACATTATAACTCATATATTATTCATCGTGAACAGTTCAACCTGTGCGCCAAATACGTTTCTCCCAGTAAAAATGAGGCCACCAATACCGTAATCAAGTGGAAAAGGCCCTAACGTTATATCAAATGGTACTGTCACTTCATTAAATGGTTGCTCTAATGTGTTCGAATATCTCTAATCTCAAACATTCGTACATGTAGCGCATATATTCAACACGAATGAACGTTTACACATTGATATCTTAGACAAATTCAAATCAACGAGAGAACATACTAGTGACGTCGACGTTCAAAATGTTTTTGCATGGCTTTATTACGTACAATTTTTACATACCTTCCCGGCGACGAGTCCCAAGATCATTCCCCGTCATTGGCGCTGGCCCCGGTGGAGCTATGTCACGGGCTGCTTTGCCTGCCTTATCGTCCTCTGAAGGTGACACCGAATCCGTCTCGACTTGTACCGTCTCAACGACCTGGGGTTGTATACCAGCAACAGCATCGCGGCGAAAATGAATATCTGGTACCGTTCCTGGTTCAAGTTTAGCATATATATTGCGTAATACGCTTTTTCTGAGAACTGAGAGAAATATAGTTAAATAGTCAGTTAAACTGTATGGATGTTCCAATAGGGCTTAGGCCGCAGTTTCGCCATCTCGCCACCTATCTAGTAGTGTAAGCGAGTAGTCACGCCATCTCATTTGGAGTAACTTATGCCCACTCGCTGAATTTGACATTCTGTGTGTGTTGCAACTAAGGTCAATCATGATGTCCTAGTACATGAATACGATAATAATAAAGATTACTATTACTATTACGAAAAGAGACTGTCAGGCCATTTTCAAGTTGTTTGGTATGACATGGAGTCGCTTAACTCCATTTCGTTTCGAAGCGAGTGTTACTATCTCATTTCGTGCGACATTCGAAAAGTGACAGTCGGAACAATTTTGTTTAGTGCGACGTGAAGTCACATAATTGTGTTTGTTGCGGCTCGAATCAAATCGCTTCATTTCATTTGGTGTGAAGTGAATCTCGTTTTGGCATGACGTACGAAAACTGGCAGACGGACCATGTCGTTTGATGTAGTATGGTTTTCTTATAACTACTAAAGTGGAATTTCACATTTATCTTACCTCCATGAACGGATTTAGCGTTGATGGTGTGGTGACTGACCATCAGGTACACGAATACCAGCGTCCACCATTCACTTCGCCTGGTCATTATTGGTGGTGGGCAGTTTATCCAGTATAAAACGATTCAACGTATATTATTCTTGGTAATAAAAAATAATATGTAACATTAAAATTAGGGTTATACCGCCGGGCTACTTTCCTGCGTGAAGTTATTATTGGACTAGACTGACTGATTTTTCTCCGAACCGTTGTTCCAGACCGCGAGGAGCCAACGTTGACTGTAGCGTCAGATTGAGTTATGCGAACGTAGGACTGAGATTATTCGGTAGCGGTCGCTCTTACACAATATAGGCCAATTCGTTTTATAATTTTAAGCACATTTTCATCAAGACTAGACTTTGCACATCATTGCGACGCATGAAACTGTACACACAATTCCTCGAAATACATTAATAGTTTTACACATGAAAAGTCATTCAGCACATTCAATATAAATCAACTGATCACTTATCAAATTAAGAAAATCAAAACATTGGCATTGATGATCACTTATATATGTAAAGAAATAATAGAAATTTTTTGTATTCACGTTGGAGCGCGAGATGCATGGAAAGTAACAAAACGTAGACCTACCTTTTGAAAGCAACGACGACACGATTGAAAAAATTGGTGCGTGTGAGATTGTTTTTACCCAACTGAGCATATGTAATGGTTCCCATCGAGAAATACTATCTATTGTATGCGGGATTATTTGGTTATTAATTCTGATATGAATATTCAATAATTTAATAACAAGTTCCAATGAATGTTATTGATTATTTTATTAAATTAAAAATCGTACTATTTATTATTCCATTTATTGAAAACCCAATATACACCATGCTTCGGGCTCGAACGCGTGTCCATTCTTGAAATCGGCCCAACACGACGCCCAACATACCTTTCCTACGTAAGACGCGCCCTCTAGCGGTGAATCGCGCCAGTGGAGTAAATGGGTGTCATAAAGGCCGTTCACAACCTTGGTATATTTTATAAGTCCAGTCGTCCGTCCAACAATGAATATTTTGTCTTTGACACATTTTAATATATTGTGAATGACGAACGACTGCACAACCAAATCTAGTTGTCTATCTGAAAAAGCTTAGTCGCTAGAGGGCGTGTCGTGACGACAAGTCGGTTCTATAACAGGGTCTACTTTTCGCAGCATTTTCAAAACACGGAATGTCAGAATATACTTGTCCGCTAATGTTTTTTTTTTTTCAGAATTGTCAGACACCCATGTCCGAATGGAAAGCAACAAACACACGCGTTCCATGGTGTTATTAAATGTTATTGGATCGGTGAGAAAATAGACATATGTATTACTGTAAATATCGATATGTATATGTTTAGGCATAAAAGCAATTATAAAACCAATTATCATCACGCTATAGTCAACATAATTAATACGAAAATTTGAAATATGATTCTTGTATTGGTATTTATGGAATTACTATAGAAATGCCACACCCAAGAAATTGTTCCGCCGGTGTTTTACTAAATGGAGATCATTGGTAGTTACATCTTGAAGTCAACTATAAGTTGACAGTCACGTATCTATTATTACTTGACTGTCAATTTGAACCATGGTTTTGACGCTTTTTATCTTCACTGTCAACAGCGCCCTCTTTGACAAACAGCGCGAAAACCAACTCATTATGTGAATAAATAGTGTACGGGAACATTCGATCCAAACATGATTGTCAATTGTCGAAATCGGAAACATTGTTTGGCTAGTTGTGCATGTGTTGATATTGCTCTCATAGTCTTGCGGCTAGTAAAATTGCCTCTATGACTGAATTCATCGATCAAACGCTTCCAGACGACATGGCTAAGTCGGTATATTAATATAGGTTAGGCTCAAAATCATATTTGTATTGTTTACATTACGATCGTTTAAAATGGGAATGGATATAACACTAGATTATGTAAGTGTTATCCAGACCCAGTCCATTTTGTCCCTGGTCGAATAAAAGCAAACTATTTTCTAATTGCCTTGCTCCGACCTGGGTATGCAGCAAAATCCAAACGTTTTCCCGTAACGGTTAGTAAACGTTGAGTGTTGCAAACATTGTATATATTTATATTTGACAGTTTTCAACAAAAAAAATAGTGCTATATAATGGAAATTGAATGTGACAGGAGGGTGAACAAAAAATACAGGCTACATACTATACGGGGGAAACAAAATGAACTTGTCGACTACATACTAGTATATTCAATGGTAAATTTAAAATAGTTCTTTTTATGTTGCAACTTATTTAAAGCATAGTGAAGTATAGTTGCAGACTACTATAACAA